ATCACGTTGGCACCATGATCACTGTAGATTACCGTGAACCTCCATGACAAAAGGCTTGGTATGGTAACGTAGATATCGCCTTGTTGGGCTTTTACCGGGTGATGGCACTGCTCAAGTGCCTATCAAAGCTTGCAAGAAGTGACAGCACCCCCCCCACCCTTTCTAGCTGAAAGGAGGAGCAAGAGGTGTGTGGGAAAAGAATGCACAGTTTAGATTCTAGAAGTCTCAGATGCAGGGTGCCACTGCTATGGAATGGATGAGGGCACAGAATCTCCCACTCTGGAATCTAATGCAGGGTAATGAGTCCGCTGCCCTTTAGCAGTACCTGTGCGTCTCCACCTGGGGCTCTACTTGTACACTGTAAACAAACTGAACAAAATAAGTCCAGTGCTGCCTGCTTCCAAGGGAACCAACCTAGGACTAGGTAAAGCACTATCTGGAATCAATGGAACCACTCACTGTTCCAAGAAGTCGGGCACACATAATTTAGCTGAATGTTATTACTTTGTCGTTCTCCCAAGCAACTACATACATTCCCAATGCTCTTTTGTTGTTGTTGTTTTCCCCCATCAAGTCACAGCTGACTCATGGTGACCCCATAGGGGTTTTCAAGGCAAGAAACATTCAGAGTTGGTTTGCCCTTGCCTGCCTCTGCATAGCAACCTTGGACTTCCTTGGTGGTCTCCCATCCAAATACTAACCAGGCCTGGCCCCGCTTAGCTTCCAAGACCTGACAACATCAGGCTATCCTGATCTATACAATTCAGGACGTGGATGCTCTGGGGGGTTATTTTTGTATGCTTCTCTGGTATATTTTTACTTGGAATTGAAAATATTGTAAGAAGAAAATCCAGACTTTAACCTCAAGTTAGAGAAAGCTGGGTCCCATGAGTGACAAGAAGCAGCTAAATTTGCCAGACTAAAAGGGACAATCAGTACTAAGATGTACAACATCTTAACCTTAACAGCATTGAATCAGGTGGTGGGTAGCCGTGTTGGTCTGAATCAGCAGAACCAACGTTTGAGTCCAGTACCACCTTTGAAACTCAGTTTTATTCAAGGTATAAACTTTTGTGCGCACACACACTTCTTCAGATTCTTATCTGATAGTACTTCTTATCTGAAGAAGTGTGCGTGCACATGAAAGTTTATACCTTGAATAAAACTTTGTTGGTCTTAAAGCTTCCTTAACAGCATTCTGCAGGTTGTTGGATAAGAACATTTAACAGAAAAAAAGGGAATTCCTGGTACATTGTTAATAAAATAACCCCATACTTTAGTACAGGTGAGGTTCAGAAAAGGTTCTGTACTTGAGTGATAATGACAAAGAAAGTAGGAAAGCACAGATAAGACATTTTCAGTACTATACTAAGAAGAGTTACCATACCCTTCTAAGTCCATTCAAGTCAAGGATGTAACCTAAGAATTACTATTCTGACTTTTGTAAGAGAACCCTACTGTTA